AAAAAAAAAAAAAAAAAAAAAAAAAAAAAAAAAACATTTCCCAGATCAGAAACAAAAGATGTTCCCTTATGACATGTACATATAATGTATGCAACAATGAAGTCATTTAAATAATGAATTTAGCATAATTTTAGAATCCTAAGACTTTGCTTTTTTCTAATGTTACCATGTCAGATTGTTGTGGTTCAGTGAAATCAGTAACATGTTGTATTTCTAAACTTCAGTGGCTGTAATGACTTTTTGTGATGGTCTTTATTGGCATAACAATAGCAACAAATTCCAGAGCTAACATTTTTTGGATATAAATTGGTCATAGGAAAGAAAGGTTGAATCAGAATCAGACGGATCTGGATTTCAATTTAGACGTCTCAGCTTAACTAGTTCTATGCCCTTAAGCATGTTATTTACTCTTCTGCTTAGCTCAGTTTCCTCATCTGGTAAAATGGGGATAATAACAGCACTCATCTCATCTTGTAAAATTAATTCATGGAAAAATGATTAGTTCAGTGCCTGGCATGTTATTCAATTGTGATAAATGGCATCAGCTGCTGAAGTTGTCATCATCGTCATTACCATCATCATCATCATTTTTATCTCCATAGAATGGGGTCATGGGATTGGAGCACCATTCTCCCATGGGAGAGCTGTCCTTATTGGAGCTGGAGTGATTCCTCTTGGCAGAAATGAAGGACTCAGAATATCTTAAGGTGCAACACAAAGGCGCAAAACAGAAACAATGAAAACGAAACAAAAACAAACAACAGAATGTCTTAACAGTGTGCATTCAGTCTGGAAATAAGTTGAAGGGAGAGTGATTTGTCTGTTTGACAATCTGCTTGCCGCCTCCATAGCACTAGAGCTTCTTTGAACACTTCTTACTTTTTCATCAAGACGTAGAAGTCTCTATGTATGAATAGAAGATTTTCACTGAATCAGGTAACAGGCAGTCAGACCCTCCCACTCATGCCCTCACTAAAGATTTGGGCTTTAAAAGTTAACTTCTATTCTTCAGTTGATCTAGGTCTATGCAGACCAATAGTTATTTTTTCCCTGCCGGACATTTATCTTTCTATAAATAGGTATCAATGGATTTTACCTTCATTTTATTAAATAAAGTAGAAAGGGGTTTTGAAATCTTGCATTTCTTCAACAGATCATAGTTATGTGTTAAGGCATGAAGCGGTTTCTATGGGCCTATGCCCTCTAGTTAATAATGACAGCATTAGACAGTCTCTTCAATAAGACGTGCTGGCAAAAGTGTAAAACAGCTACATGTAGACGAATGAAATTAGAACACTGCGTAACACCATATACACAAAAATAAACTCAATATGGATTAAAGACCTAAATGTAAGATGGGATACTATAAAACTCTTAGAGGAAAACATAGGCAGAACCCTCTCTGACATAAATTACAGCAAGATCTTTTTCGATCCACCACTTAGAGTAATGAAAAAAAAAAAAGATAATAAATAAATAAATAATAAACAAATGGGACCTAATTAAACTTAAAAGCTTTTGCACAACAAAGGAAACCATAAACAAAAGGAAAGACAACCCACAGAATGGGAGAAAATATTTGCAAATGAAGCAACTGACAAGGGATTAATCTCTAAAATATACAAACAGCTCATGTAGCTCAATATCAAGAAAACAAGCAACCTAATCAAAAAATGGGCAGAAGATCTAAATAGACATTTCTCCAATGAAGACATACAGATGGCCGAAAGCACATGAAAAGATGTTTAACATCGCTAAATTAGAGAAATGCAAGTCAAAACTACAATGCAGTATCACCTCACACCAGTCAGAATGGGCATCATCAGAAAGTCTACAAACAGTAAATGCTAGAGAGAGTGTGGAGACAGGGAGCCCTCCTGCACTATTGGTGGTAATGTAAATTGGTACAACTGCTATGGAGAACAGTATGGAGGCTTCTTAAAAAACTAAAAATAGAACTACCATATATATGATCTAGCAGTCCCACTCGTGGGCATATATCTGGAGAAAACCATAATTCAAAAAGATACATGCACCCCAATGTTCATTGCAGCACTATTTACGATAGCCAGGACATGGAAGCAACCTAAATGTCCATCGACAGAGGAATAGATAAAGAAGATGTGGTTCATATATACAATGGAATATTAATGTTCATTCAGCACTATTTACGATAGCCAGGACATGGAAGCAACCTAAATGTCCATCGACAGAGGAATAGATAAAGAAGATGTGGTTCATATATACAATGGAATATTACTCAGCCATGAAAAAGAATGAAATAATGCCATTTACAGCAGCATGGATGGACCTAGACATTATCATACTAAGTGAAGTAAGCCAGACAGAGAAAGACAAATATCATATGATATCACATACATGGAATCTAAAAGAAAATGATACAAATGAACTTATATACAAAATAGAAATAGACCCACAGACATAGAAAACGAACTTATGGTTACCAAAGGGGAAAGGGAGAGAGGGATAAATTTGGAGTTTGGGATTAACATATACATACTACTATATATAAAATAATCAACAAGGACCTACTGTATAGCACAGGGAACTCTCCTCAATATTCTGTAATGACCTATATAGGAAAAGAATTTGAAAAAGAATGGATATCTGTATATGTATAACCGAATCACTTTGTTGTACATCTGAAACTAACACAACATTGTAAATCAACTGTATTTCAATATAAACTAAAAACTAAATTTAAAAAATGACAACATTACAAGAAAAACAGCAATAACAACAGCAGTCATAAAAGCTAATGATTTTGACTCCTATCTCTGTGCTAGGCACTGTTTTAAGAATTTTACATGGATTGTCTCATTTAAGTTTCATGACAATCCCATGAAGAAAATGATTATTATCCTTATTTTACAGTTGCTGAAATAGGCATGAGGAGGTTATGGAATCTTTGCAGTGTCATACAACTAGGGAGTGATGGAGCCAGGACCCAGCATGACGGGGATGTTGGATACATGATTTAAGTGGTTGCATCCCTTTTTCAAGGGAGGTTGGGGTTTGCTGTGAATTACAAATCATGTGGGTGCATGTGTTTGTCTCTCCTAAACACAGGTCTGTATATAGCCCCAAACCTGGAAGACAGCTCTTTTAATTTATAGTCTCCCCTTCCCTCCCGTCATGCGAGACGAGTCCCAAACATCTTCAGCACCTCGGAGAGCTCTGTTCCCTCATCTGTAGGGAATGGGGATCCACGAAGGGATACCAGTATAGTGTGGAATATTCAGCGAAACTTTTCCTTTTATGTCCACGGTGTTGTATATAAGTGTCTCTGGGTTTCCAGTCACAGTTGTGCTCCTTGCGAGCAAGTTCCTTAAAGGAGTCTCAGGATCCTTGTACGTAAAACTGAGACACTAAATATCTCCCAGATGAGTTGTGATGATTAAATGAAGATCTATGTAAAGGCTTTGGCAAATTTTCAGTTTTATGTTATCCCAATAAGCAGAAAGTACATAAACGCTCCCAAGAGTCTCTTCTCAAAGTTGTAGTTATTCCATAGATGCATAAAGGGAAGGATTATGTCAGCAAGACATTTTCAGAATCCTCATTTGATTAATGATGGTAAAAAAGAAAAAGCAAATAACTAGAGTTTTTTCTTGACATGGGCTCTGACTTTGGCCAGCACTCAGCTATTGATTGTCCAATAGGATTGCCCAGTAAGAGTGTCCTCTTTTCTGTTTATAGACACATCCAACCCAAACTGCGTTCTTATCCAGTGTTGACCTCCACACTCACTGTTCTTATCAGCTCATGTTGCCAGAGGCCATTGCCATTGTCTGTTCACCGAAGCATAAAGAGTAAGTGTGATTATTGAGAGGGTTCAAGTAAGGCTTTGTCTGGGTCTGCTAGGTTCAAGTGTGTCCACACACCAGGTTGTAGCACTTGGATAAGTAGGCAAACCATGCCCTTGGGAAAAGGAGACTGGTGCCTGCTGGCTTCCATAACTTGTAGGTCTGCCATCTTTTGCTTTTTAAGGTCATTTCTGTGGTAGAATTACTGGTTTTCCTTCTTTACATGACCTTGAAGTGGATAAAGCATATGTTATTCCAGTTTGCCGCCTGAGATCTTAGTTCTTTTGTATGATTTCTGCTGTGAGAAAATTTCCAGCCTTGGGGACTTCCCTGGTGGTCCAGTGGTTAGGCCTCTGCGCTTCCACTGCAGGGGGCACGGGTTCCATCCCTGGTCCGGGAACTGAGGTCCCACATGCTGAATGGTGCGGCCAAAAACAAACAAAAAAAAACAGAGAAGAAAATTCCCAGCCTTAGATTAATTATCTCCAAAACCTTCCTAAATGTGGAGGACAGTGACTATCACAGCACGATTATGAGCAGAGGAATCAAACTGATACTGGGATCCCAGTTTGATACCTGACCACTGTGACCCTCAGTCTCTTCATCCCTGATACTTATCCATCACAGATTGATGTGAAGGTGAAACTAGATGATAGTCTACATAAAGGGCTTAGCATAGTGCCTGGCACCACAGCCAGCACTCAGTAAATATTTACTGCAGCTATAAATACTATTTATTTCTCAGAAATATTGCAGGTTCAGTTCCAGATCACCACAATAAAGCAACTGACACAATAAAGTGAGTCACATGAATGTTTTGGTTCCCCAGTGCATATAAAAGTTATGTTTACATTGCAGACTATTAAGTGTGCAGTAGCATTATGTCTAAAAAAACAATGTACATACCTTAATTTAAAAATATTTTATTGCTCATAAATGCGAATTATCATCTGAGTCTTCAGCGAGTCATAGATCACTGATCACACTTTACCATAACAAATATAATAATGGAAAGGTCTGAAATATTGTGAGAATTACCAAAATGTGACAAAGAGACGTGAAGTGAGCAAATGCTGGAAAGTGGCTCCAGTAGACTTGCTCAATACAGAGTTGCCACAAACCTTCAATTTGTAAAAATGCAGTGTCTTCGAAGTGCAATAAAGTAAAGTACAATAAAATGAGATATGCATGTATTAGAGAAATTAGAAATATCCATCACCTGTAATTTCCTCCTATGGGGTCTCAGCTTTTCTCCCAAGGTCTCACACAGCAGTTCAGGCACTTGGCAGTAGCACTGGTCTCTTCAGTCTTCCTCTAGGCCGTCACACAACACTGGTTAAAAAAAAAAATCCCTGTAAAATTTTTAGTTTGTCGTTTCTTTCTCCATTCCATTTGAAGAATATGTATGCTTGTGCCATTCAAATTAAAGCATCTGGAAAGCCCAAATGATCCTTCGGTTTTGTACCTTTTTTTCACTCTGAAACTTAGCACCGGCGTCTTCAGGCTCACCAATGCTGGCATGCTTGAGGTCTCCGCTTGTAAAAAGAAGGGCTTTCATCCACACACCAAGGACCCCAGGCTGTTCAGTGTGAGTAGACAACGTTGGTTATTTTTTGCACATAGTGTTTATTTTTCACCCCCTCCTTTTTTTTTTTTTTTTTGATTGAAATATAGTTGATGTAATATGTTACTTTCAGGTATACAATACAGTGACATTTTCATACCTTATGAAATCACCATGATAAATCTAGTAACCATCTGTCCCCATACTAAATTATTAAACTATTATTGACCATAGTCCTTACGCTATATATTACACCCCTGTGGCTTAAAAAGATGTGATATATATATATATATATATATATATATACACACACACACACACACACACACACACAATTATATATTAAAAAATGAAATCTTGCCATTTGCAACAACGTGGATGAGTCTAGAGGGTATTATGTTAAGTGAAATAAGTCAGAGAAAGACAAATACCATATGATTTTACTTATATGTGGAATCTAAAAAACAAAACAAAAGAGAGTCATAAATAGAACAAATGCATGGTTGTCAGAGGGAAGGGGGTTTGCAGGTGAAATAGGTGAAGGAGATTAAGAGGTAGAGACTTCCAGCTATAAAACACATAAGCCTCTTTTTTTTTTTTTTAAGGAGAGCAATAGTAGCAATATAATATAGGATAAAACACTTTATTGCTTAGTTTGGAATTTTCTTATCTCGTAAAATTAATCAATCTTTGTATTTTCTTCTGATTTCTTGTCATTACTATTTTACTTACAAAAGAATGACAGTATTTCTGTAGCAGAGTTGATTATACATAAAGTTTCCTTTCCATTTACATATCTGTGTGATACTTAAACAATTAACAGTTTTCTCCAGGGTCCCAGCAAGCAAACGATTATTAAAGAAAATGATATTAAATGTGTCCTGAATTATTTCTGCTTGATATGGCCAAATTAGTTTTTCATAAAGTTCAATGAAAACTGTAATCCTATTTTTTTGATTAGCTTTGTATAGCCCCAAAGTAACATTATTTGATTACATCCTTTTCTGTTTGCTTGGCTGTTCCCTGGCTGTGATATCAGAGAAACAGTATTTTGAACTCAGAATTTATTTAAAATGAAAATTACTTGCACCTTTTGTAAACATTTTCTTCTTGTTGAAAGTGAATACATATGATTGTATTTGTTCTGAGTGGAAATATTTTTAAAATTAGAAACATTTGAAATTAGGAAATTCATACTCCCTCCCTAAAGAGAATCATGTTAAACATCATGAGGTAAAGCCAATTTTTTCTTTCCTAGATATGCAAACATGTGTTGGTAAAAGACATAAAAATAATCGTACTGGATCTGAGGTGATATGTTCTGAAGATTAGCACCGTCCACGCCAGACACTTACCCATGGACCTGTGGTTGCTGGATTTTCTTAAGATGTTTCCAGAAATGACTGACATTTTATATTTATACATTTTAGGTCAGAAAGTTTGATATTTATTACTTTTGCACATTTTGAAGCTTTCTTTTTGGGTTGCTTTGTCTCAAGAGAGGTTACAATGGAGTTAAATCAATACCTATTAATGTGCCCAAATACTATGACCAGATAATAAATTGTGCCGCAAACAACAATATGTCTGGAATTTTTAAACTTTTTTTTTGACGTATAGTGGGTGTACAATATTATATAAGTTCTAAGTGTACAACGTAGTGATTCACAATTTTTAAAAGTTATACTGTCTGGTATTTTTAGGGGTCTCTGCATGTGTTTTCAGAGCTTTAGATGTTTTGCTGTATTATTTTTATTCCTGTAAAATGTAGTTCCACATAAGAAATTCTGAGTACCAGGGGGTTTCCAAGACAGGCCATATGTTTCTGAGACTTTTCCCTGCGGTGGTCAAAGAAGGATGTGAGAAGAAACACAGCTGCAGACAGTTGAGCCCATCGTGTGTTTTCAGTGTCAGTGAATCCTGGCTCAGAGTCTGTAGTCAATCTTAGTGTAAGAGACCAGAGCCCTGAGCTTCTACTCAGGGATCAGGTGTCAGAGGACCTGAGATAGCCAATGATTCATTAACTTGATTTAGAGGACTAAAAGCAGAGACACTTGAAAGAGGAATAAAAAAAGGCTCAGATGGAAATGTAAAGCCTATTTCTGTGAAAGTCAATAGGGATGACAGGGAGAAGGAATGAGGTATAGGAAATACTGATAATTCTCAACCAAAAAGAATAAATAAAATCATTTGGCAAGAACATTCATAATTAAAAGTATCTATATAAACCAAGGCACAGGGAATAGGAAGAAAAATACGTACAGTTTCTGCTGTACAGAAACTGAATAGGGTATCATGAATACAGAGTTATAATATGACCAAGGCTTGGAATGGAATTTGTGACTGGTACCCAGATAATAAAGGCATTTACCTGGATCGAAAGATAATAGATTAATAGAAGGAATGGGGGACTGACGGATTATGTTGGCAAGTTGAATTGGTAGGAAAACATTATGAAGAAAATGTAGCCCAAATAAAAGGAGAGAAGAATGGAAGTCAAGCTAATCCGATCTAACTTTCTCTCTTCCCAATGTTTTTTGTGCCAACCTCAGCTTTCCCAGACTTTGCTTTCCTCCTGGCATTATATCTGAGTTGCCTAAATGGTCTTGTTTGCATGTACTAGCATCCACTTTTTAGTTCAAGGATTTCTGTATTCCTAGGAGGAATATTCCCTGCACTCTGTGCTTGGACGAGATAACATTCCTCCCCCACTTGTCTCTTCCCTAATACAGGTATCATGTCACCTAGCTTCTACTCTAGTTCTCATTCATAAAGAGCCTACTGTGGGCAGCTCAGTGACTTGTTTCTGCCTATGATAACTTGTAGGCTTGGAGAGTTCAGGTCCCAGACTCCAGAAGCAAGAGCTTTGCTTGCCCAATGCACGGGGACTTGAGTCTATAGTCTCCCACAGCTAAGGGCATATTAACTGTGCGAGCCTGGCTCCACGGACAGCCCGCTTTCCCCCGAGTGATGCTGTCCTCAACGTCTTAGCATTTAAGGACAGCAGGATATTCTGACATACTTGATCACAGGAAAAGATTATGTAATTTATTCAAGTAACAATGACTGTTGGGACTAGGGAGAGTTGAGAAATGAATGATATCCTCAGGGTGGAAACCAAAGATACAGTAGTAGACCAAGAGGGTGTCCAATGAGAGGTATCTGATGAAAAAATGATGACCATTGAATGGTACCTAGAGATAGAAAGGACTCAATTGAAAGCCAAGAACATTTGGCTTCTTAGATTTCTGGAGAGAATAGAAAGAGCTACTCTGAGCATTCAGAGCCAATTATATCGCTTCTGAACAGCAAATTAGGAGGGAACTCATTTTTCATTAAAAAGATATATCATATTCCCTAAAGGAGTGGGGCATTCTTGGCATTTTTATTCCCTTGCAAGGGGACGCAAAATCTCAGGCCTGAGACGTAGTTTGAAAAGCTGCTCTTGAAGGGCGTATGGTTTTCTTATTGCCAGGTGCAAACCCAACTAACCAGACTTCCCAGGAGGACCTTGTCACAGCTGAAGGACTCCTGGAGGCTGCAAACCTATGACTCGCCCTGCGTGAAAGAATGAGTTCCTAATGTTCTGTGTCTGAAAGAGGAACCATCAGACATGTGGCCACACTGCTGAGGGCTGGGCTGGCTGGGAGCAGGGCCCACGTGAGTCACCGTGGAGGCCCGTATGAGTGTGAGTGTGTGTGTGTGTGTGTGTGTGTGTGTGTGTGCATGAGTGGGTGGGTGTGTGACCATAGACATTCCCTGGAAGAGCTTCCTCTGGAAGATCTCATTCCCAGCAGGCAGTGCAGCTCCCTCTTTTGAATATGAATCCGTTCCAGAGCCCCATTTGCCACTTCCTTACCTTCGAAGGCAAAGACAGTTCATTTCTTTTCAGATTTGTGCTTCTGTAGAAAATGAACCAATTACGCCTGAGCTTCCTTTGTATTTTTTTTCAGGTTTTTATTGGACTATAGCTGATTTACGATGTTGTGTTAGTTTCTGCTGTACAGCAAAGTGTATCAGTTATATATATAGTTCCACTCTTTTTTAGATTCTTTTCCCATATAGGTCATTACAGAGTATTGAGAATTTCCTTTGGTTTTGAATGCTAGTCTGTTTGTACTCAGTGCCTGGCACCTGGCATGTACTTGTTATGGGCTGAGTTGTGTCCCCCCGCCGCCCCCTAGAACTCACGTGTTGAAGTCCCAACCCCCAGTACCTCAGAATGTGAATGTATTTGGAGAAAGAACCTTTAGAGAAGTAACTGAGTTAAAATTTGGCCACTAGAGGGGGCCCTAATCCAATGTGACTGGTGTCCTTAACAAGAAGAGATCAGGACACAGACAAAGAGGGAAAACCCTGTGATGACACAGGGCGAAGATGGCCGTCTACGGGGAGAGAGGCCTCAGAAGAAACCAAATCTGCCAACACCTTGATCTCTTACTTCCAGCCTCCAGAACTGTGAGAAAATAAATTTCTGTTGTTTAAGCCAACCAGTCTGTGGTATTTTGTTATGGCCACCCTAGCAAACTAATATAATACTCAAAAAATATTTACTGAATTTGTTTCCTTTTTTTCTCAGAGATGGAATGGAAATGACTTTCTTTGTTGTCAGGCAGAAATCATTCTCTTCTCCATAGACCTTGGAGCAAAGCAGGATGTCTGCGGATTATTCTCAGCTACTGAAGTTATTCTTGGTTTCTTTTTAGTAGAATTTTATTTGTGGAAAAAGTGACATTATGTTTGAGGTACAGTATCAGTTAAGGCCACATCCTAGAATTGGTTCAGTATTTTTCCCCCCAATTCATCCCCTGCTGCACCCACTTTGGTCGTGCTGGAAACTGCCTTATTATAATGGTTTGGACTTATCATCGAAATTTCTGTTGCAAAACCAGCTACAGTTGTCCCAAGCGTGGAAAGCAGATGTTTCTCTTCCAGCATGTCTTGCAGAATTTTCTAGCAGGCGAATGTCTTCTGTGAAAAGGATGCTTGAGAAATGTCATGTATTTGGCAGAGATAAAGGAAGAAAGGTAAACTTTCAGCTCCTTATTCTTAGAAGGCATTAGCTTGTTATTTATTGTGAAGACACCAATATGCAAAGAACTCTTCTCTGTTTTTCTAAGAAACTTGTTTCCTTTTCTAGCATCTTGGCTTTTCACGAGGCAAGAATATATTTTTCTTGGGGGCAGCTGACAAAAACATTAGTTTAGTTAGTCTGGGGAGATGCAGAGGATGAGGGAGAGAAAACAGGAAAATAGAGAAGGACCCTGGGGGAGAGAGGGTAGAATTAGAAAACTATAGACGGCAGACCGGCTTTACTTAATTTGTTTGAAGTCAATGTCTTGGGCATTATCTAGACCAAAAGACATTCTAAAACCAAATGGAGACAAATAGTTTAGTTTAGTTTTGTCTTGTTTTACCTCTGTCAAGGAGGATTAACTATTCATCTGCATCGAGTTAACCAGCGTTGACTGTGAAAAACTAAAATTGTGTACTCAAATTAATCACTGTCTGGGTGCGTCCCAGATGTATCAATGTAATGAGTGGTGAACCTGTATTCTTGAGTCCCAAGAGGATGTTTAAAATTCCTCTCTTCAATTTTTCACGAAAAAGCATTTATAGGTTGTTCAAAAAATAAGCTCCATTTTGTGTCCTCCTAATATAAAGGCTGATGAACAAGAAAAACAACCAACCAGAAGAAATTTACTCTATTCTTGACTTCGGGCAAGGTTTCATTACCTACAGAAATGAGGTGTGTGAATTAACTGATGTTGCAGGTTTTTTTCAGCAATAAAGCTTTGTACTTACTGACATTTTTTCCAGGGCAGTACATAATTTTAATTTTTTTTAATTTAAAAGTAATTTATTGGGGTGAAATTCACATAAGATAAAATTAACCATTTTAAAGTGAACAATTCAGTGACATTTAGTACATTCACAGTGTTGTACAACCATCACCTCTATCTTTTTTTTCTTTTGCGGTACGCGGGCCTCTCACTGTTGTGGCCTCTCCCGTTGCGGAGCACAGGCTCCGGACGCGCAGGCTCCGCGGCCATGGCTCACGGGCCCAGCCGCTCCGCGGCATGTGGGATCTTCCCGGACCGGGGCACGAACCCGTGTCCCCTGCATCGGCAGGCGGACTCTCAACCGCTGCGCCACCAGGGAAGCCCCAACACCTCTTTCTTGTTCCAAAGCATTTCCATCTCTCCAAAGTGAAACCTCTTATCCATTAAGCCATTTATCCCCATTCCCTCCCCCAACCCCTGGCAATCATCAATCTGCATTCTGTTTCTATGGGTTTTTCTATTCTAGAGATTTCATATAATTGAAATCATAAAATATGTGAACTTTTGAGTCTGGCTTCTTTCACTTAACGTAACCTTTTACAGGTCTATCCACATTTTAACATATATATCAGTGCATTCCTTTTCATCCATTGTATCTGTATACAACAATTTGTTTATCCATTCATCCATCAATGGACATTTGGGTTGTTTCCACCTTTTGGCTATTGTGAATAGCACTGCTATAAGCATGCATGTACTTATTTGTTTGTACAAGTGCAAATGTGTACTTCTTTCA